AAAGGTCACATTCATCTCCAGAAATTAATTCAGCGATACACTGCTGACACATGTAATATACCGCACAATATTTTTAGCTTGAAATCAGCCAAAAAATAAAAACATTGAACATGGGCATATTTTGTAGTTCTTATATAAAAAGAGTATTAATGAATTAGCTATGTTGGGGGAATCCATGTACATTCCATTCTCCATAATTAAAGGAAATTGTCAATTGCCCCTTCTTAAAATTACACATGAAAGCAAAATCTTTCCTATCACTTACTATTAGCTCAACTTTGTGTCCTCTTCTTCTACCTGCTAAAGTTCTCTTAAAATAGTTCTTGACCACTTTATCTTCATATCCTGACAGCAAGGTATTATTTATTGAATGACTTTATGAAATATATATAATAATTATATATATATATATATATATATATATATATATATATATATATATATATATATATATATATATATATATATATATATATATATATATATATATTATATATATATATATATATATATAATATATATATATATATATATATATATATATATATATATATATATATATATATATATATATATATATATATTATATATATATATATATATATATATATATATATATATATATATATATATATATATATATATATATATATATATATATATATATATATATATATATATAATTTTCTTTTGACGGCGCTGAGTTAGGAAATGATTTCGTTCACCGCAGACAAAATCTAATTGAACCAATTTGTTTTCTCCACACTGTAAACAAACCTTTAACTCCGTGGGCGAAATGATGATGGGTTGTATACCAATTTTGTAAGGGGAAGGAAAATGCCATTATACCCAAACACTCCATAAAATGATGATTTTCATGGTTTGCATTGCCTACATGCAATACATCTAGAATATTTAGCAAATTACGAGCGAATGAAGAGTTTGAAAATTTAAAGATTTCAGCAATGCTACGTGTGCAGAAACATGGTGGGTCATGGTGGACATTTTTCCGCAGTAAAAAAAGTTTTCCCATACAGAGGCTTTTGAAACATCGTTCTTCTATGCGTTTTTACTAAACCAATTAGTATACGATGTCCATTTTGTCAACATATGGCAAAGCAAATTTTTCACACCTCTCTAGTGGCCGTTTACAAATTACGTGGCGCATTTTTGGCCATTTTTGACACCCCTTCTTTACACATACTATCAAGTTTGTGAAGGCAACGATTGTTTTGGCTGTTTTCCTTGTTGTCTGGTTTATGTTGTCCCTTCTACAGCGTTCCCTATCAACTATTCTCTCTTTTTATCAACCTGTCGTCCTTCCTTTTTGCTCTCACCCCACGACCATCTTCTCACCCCTTCCCCCAGTCATTGGCGTCAATCTGACGTTAATTGAGGGGACCATATTCATATCTGCTGTGCCTGGCTAATTTCTTTTGAACACAACTCACTTTCAATAAAAATCATCCTGGCGTAACAGAATATATGAATATAGGTCCTCCCTAATTAACATTAGATTGACAGCGATGCCCAGTCCCTCTGTTCAGTCCCTTTTAGCGGGATTCAAAACATCGATTTACCACTTAGAAGACAGTCGTCTTCGCCTCTAGACCACAAGTTCTTGTACTGGATAGCCATGGTTATTTAGTTTACTTTACCCTTTTACGAAGTTCATAATAAAAAATGGTTTTGGCAGGATTCGAAACATCGATTTACCACTAAAAGACAGCCTGCTGAAGACATGCTGAACGGCCATGGATATTTAATTTACTTTATTCTTTTCACAAAGTTCATAATGAAAATGTCATGGCAGGATTCGAACCATCGATATAATACTTGGGAGACGATTGTCTTCGCCACTAGGATGCAAATTTTGTGATGAATGCTTATGGTTATTTAATTTACTTTATCCTTTTCACGAAGTTCATTATGAAAAACGGTTATGCTAGGATTCGCACCATCGATTTAAAACTATGGAGACCATCGTCTTTGCCACTAGCTGCAAGGTCTTGTGCTGGATGACCATCGTTATTTAGTTTACTTTATCCTTTCACGAAGTTCATAATAAAAAATATTTTTGGAAGATTCAAAACATCGATTTACCACTTGAGAGACAGTTGTCTTAGCCATTAGACTGCAAGGGCTTGTGCTAAGCAGCGATGGTTACTTAATTTGTTTTATTCTTTTCACGAAGTTCATAATAAAAAAGGTCATGGCAGGATTCGAACCATCGATTTACTACTTGGGAGACGATTGTCTTCGCCACTAGACTGCATGATCTAGCGCTGAACGGTTATGGTTATTTTAATTTATTTATCCTTTTCACAAAGTTCATAATGAAAGACGGTTACGGTAGGTTTCGAACCATCGATTTAACACTTGGGAGACCATCGTCTTCGCCACTAGACCACAAGGTCTTGTGCTGGATGACCATGGTTATTTAGTTTACTTTATCCTTTCACGAAGTTCATAATAAAAAAAAGTTTTGGCAAGATTCGAAACATCGATTTACCACTTAAGAGACAGTTGTCTTTGCCAATAGTCTGCAAGGTCTTGTGCTGAACGGCCATGGTTATTTAGTTTACTTTATTCTTTTCACGAAGTTCATAATGAAAAAGGTCATGGCAGGATTTGAACCATCGATTTACCACTTGGGACACAATTGACTTTGCCACTTGTCTGCAAGGTTTTGCGCTGAACGGCTATGGTTATTTAGTTTAATTTATTCTTTTCATGAAGTTCATAATGAAAAAGTTCATGGCAAGATTCGAACCATCGATTTACTAGTTAGGAGATGATTGTCTTCGCCACTAGACTGCGAGAACTTGTGCTGAACGGTTATGGTTATTTAATTTATTTATCGTTTTCACGAAGTTCATAATGAAAAACGGTTATAGTAGGATTCGAAAAATCGATTTAACATTTGGGAGACCATCGTCTTCGCCACTAGACCGTAAGGTCTTGTGCTGGGTGACCTTGATTATTTATTTTTCTTTACCCTTTTCACGAATTCATAATAAAAAATGGTTTTGGCAGGATTCGAAACATCGATTTAACACTTGGAAGAAAATTGTCTTAGCCACTAGCCCAAAAGTTTTTCGGGGGAATGGCTATATTCATTTGAACTACTTTATCGTTTTCACAAAGTTCATAAAGAAAAAAAATTATGGTAGGATTCGAACAATCGATTTAACACTAGACCACAAGTTCTTCGGGGAATGGCTACGTTTATTTGATCTACTTTATCGTTTTCACGAAGTTCATAATGAAAAACGGCTTTGGTAGGATTCGAACCATCGATTTACTACTTGGGAGACGATTGTCTTCGCCACTAGACTGCATGATCTTGCACTGAACGGTTATGGTTATTTTAATTTATTTATCCTTTTCACAAAGTTCATAATGAAAGACGGTTACGGTAGGTTTCGAACCATCGATTTAACACTTGGGAGACCATCGTCTTCTCCACTAGACCGCAAGGTTTTGTGCTGGATGACCATGATTATTTAGTTTACTTTATCCTTTCACGAAGTTCATAATAAAAAAAGTTTTAGCAAGATTCGAAACATCGATTTACCACTTAAGAGACAGTTGTCTTAGCCATTAGACTGCAAGGTCTTGCGCTGAGCGGCGATGGTTATTTAATTTACTTTATTATTTTCACCAAGTTCATAATAAAAAAGGTCATAGCAGGATTCGAACATTCGATTTACTACTTGGGAGACGATTGTTTTCGCCACTAGACTGCAAGATCTTGCGTTAAACGGTTATGGCTATTTAATTTACTTATCCTTTTCACGAAGTTTATAATGAAAACGGTTACGGTAGGATTCGAACCATCGATTTAACACTTGGGAGACCATCGTCTTCGCCACTAGACCGCAAGGTCTTTTGCTGGATGTCCATGGTTATTTAGTTTACTTTATCCTTTCACGAAGTTCATAAAGAAAAGGTCATAGCAGGATTCGAACCATCCATTTAAGACTTGGAAGACAATTGTCTTTGCCAATAGTCTGCAAGGTCTTGTGCTGAACGGCCATGGTTATTTAGTTTACTTTATTCTTTTCACGAAGTTCATAATGAAAAAGGTCATGGCAGGATTTGAACCATCGATTTACCACTTGGGACACAATTGACTTTGCCACTAGTCTGCAAGGTTTTGCGCTGAACGGCTATGGTTATTTAGTTTAATTTATTCTTTTCATGAAGTTCATAATGAAAAAGGTCATGGCAAGATTCGAACCATCGATTTACTAGTTAGGAGATGATTGTCTTCGCCACTAGACTGCGAGAACTTGTGCTGAACGGTTATGGTTATTTAATTTATTTATCGTTTTCCCCTTACGAAAAAAACACATGCAAACCACATGTGTTTCACATGTGCTTCACATGTGATCACATGTGCTTCACATGTGATCACATGTGATTATATGTGGTTCACATGTGCTTCACATGTGACCACATGTACTTCACATGTGACCACGTGTGCTTCACATGTGATCACATGTGATAATATGTGGTTCACATGTGCTTCACATGTGATCACATGTGATTATATGTGGTTCACATGTGGTTATATGGAGGGTACATGTGAACCACATGTGGTTTTATTGGATACACACGAGGTTCACATGTGAAAACATGTGGTTACATGGAGGGCACATGTGAACCACATGTGATGCAGATGTGGTTATATGAGATACACATGTGGTTCACATGAGAAATGTTTCTACACACAAGTGGTTCATATGTGATCACATGTGGTTTATATGCGATCACACAAGGCTAACATGTGAAAATCTATAAACCTATGTGAACAAAATGTGGTTGACATGAAAATGTACTTCAAACTAATAATGAATCAGCAAACTTCTGTAATGTGATGCATACATATACTACATACTTATCCCCAAATACACATGCGTAATCATCTAAATAATAGTTACTGCTTTGCTCAGTTTAAGTAATACTGTATATTTAAGTTTTCTTCTTATTTACAATTAATCTCTATCAAACATATTTGGTAATCTACATATAAAGTTATTTACATCAAAACTCTCCTGATTAAATAATATAAATTTGTCTTTGATGTTATTTAACCTCACTATTTGTAACACTGAATCAATTTCTAGCACTTCAAAAATATTATTACAAAGTCGACCACACTCACTATCCCTTCTAAGCCAGCTTGGCCGCACCACACTAATAGACCTTGCGAAAGCAAAACACACACTATCAACAACAGCAAATACTTTAAGCTCCACTATATTCCCATCTGTGAGCCCAACAATAGAATTCCTTCTGCGAGAGTTACGGATGTATTGTTGGCAGTCCAGAACAATGCCCTCAACAACAGCCTTAATGAAAAACTCAGCTTGTTCAACGTGGACTGCATCATAACAAGCATCATTCTCAACAAGAAATCTCTCTTCAATTGTAAAAGGCCGACAATATGACGCACCCAAAGCCACAACCCCATTACGAAGCCTCTTCGCTTTCTTCAAAAGCACAGTGCCTTTTAACTGAGCTTCCATGAAAAAGGAAAGAGCACTTTCTCCATCATTTTCAAGTGAGACATCACTAAGAGCATCAAGAGCTCGATACAGTAGAAATGAATTGGCAATTTGCATGGGCACAGCTTGTGTTCCATGAAAAAGTCTCATCAATACAAGATTGAAGCCTTCAAAAACATAAGTAGAATAAATAGATAACGGCCCCCAGTCAATTACCGTTTGAGTGAGATGATTTAATTGGTGAATATTGTATGTCATGTGAATTTCACCATAAAGTTGTTGAAACTCATTAACAAATTTGGTCAATGAAGCACTGGCATGGTTTAGGTCTGAATGAGTAATAGAGGCCTTAGTCAACAAGTACACACCATGACATAAAAGAAGCATATGGTGATAGTACCTTGAAGGCAACAGTCCATAAAGGACAATAGGGCAATAGAGAAGAATCCACCAGTGCCACTCAGAGCCTTTCCAATAAGCTCGTTGTGTGACTGAACGAGGAATCCTTGTCACTTCATGGGGAGGTATTATTTGTCGAAGTTTAGCATCAATCTCCGCAATATGCCTGCCCAAATACCAAGGTTCCTGGTGGTTACAAGAGTCAAACCAAAGATGACCAAGTTGCCGTGATACACCAAGATCGACACAATGAAGGTTATCAACTGGAAATCCTCTAACAATATCAAAGTATGGCAATTTCATCAGCTTTGATAGCCCTTTTACGCCATTAACAGTTTCCTGCTGTTTAAATGCCCTGGTTGCATCATGTCTTAGCTCCGTTTGGGTCCTAAGGTTGTACCCTTCAGGACTTTGGAGATACACCCGTGTATGCCCTTGACCTTTGTGAATCTGAATGCCAGGGTTATAACACCAGCTGCAACCATTAACACCATTAAACTGGTGAATATTCTGGATATGGCACCTGGCAACACTGTCACATGAGCAAATGCAAGCAAAAACCCTAGAGCAGACTTCAACACCAGCTCGTAACCATTTCATTCCAACCGACCCAAGCCGCCTCATTTCGCTAGTAAATGGTTCCAAAAATTGCAGAATATTTGGTTTACTTGGTCCAAACCAAAGACCAATCAAGAAAATATGTTGCTTTCTTATTTTAGGAGGAAGTTCGTTAAGCATGCCCTGTAATGGCCAGATACTAAATGAGGAGGAGCGAAAAACTGGGACACCATCACAACCAAAAGACAAACTAAGAGCATTTCTATCAGAAGTTAGAATGCCATCACCAAGCGACCTGTACATTTGCCCATCATAGATATCACTAATTACACTATTGTGTGAATCTCGATTAAAACGATAATCTAAATTATCTGATACACTATTTTCTTGTAAGAAGTCCCTTAATTGTTTTTCAATTGGGAGGTATAAAAAAAAACTCCCTTGTTCTAATAGTCTGTGTTGTTCAAATTCTACATTGCAAATGAAACACTTTAACTTTTCACTTGTTTGAAAAAGTGTTTGGCAATTAGGGCAATAAAATTTATGTTCAAGTCCTTCTCGAAAACCATTAAAATATTTGTCGAATAAATATTTTGTTCGAGGTAGGCGAGATCCAATTGGGAGTATCATGCTCAACAATTTAAGGAGGTTACCAACAGCCACACTGGTTAGGTTATTGCCAAGAACAAATGACATTATCAGTAGTAGACACTGACCAAAGGTGACAGGTGCATTTTCATACAATGGTTCATCCACTGGTTCCTGGTCAGCTTCAGATTGGTACAATTCATCACCCTATATAATGAAAAAGGTGACATGAAGATATTCAGTATTTCCCTCACAACTAGGTTGTAGTCTTTACACAGATCTAAAACTTATTCACCAAGTGACTTGATGGAGAGCAAGAGATATAGTATGAACTGCTTGCTAGCTATAGTAAAAAATATAGAAGTCACTCACACTTTCATCTTGATTTCCACAACCTTCTTGGAACTGAACAAATCGATTAGGATTATTGTCATTATCATCACTGACTTGATTATCACAATCATCTACACAAACCATAAGAATGTATTAATAACCCACTGTTTCTGAATACACAACAAAATTATAGAATACTACAGCAATATGTCATGATGTTAAATATCTGTTAGGGGATCAATTGAGTATAAAACTGCCCCATTCTTTAAAAACAATGTTTATTATTGTTCTCTGAAAGTCCAATTCATGCATTTTGGTAATATGAAACAAGGTAGTCTAATATGAGCCATATGACTTTGACTATGCTAGATTTTTTACCTGTTAAATCATGACTTTCATTTCCCACGGTAAACGAGGGATCAGAACAAGGCTGTAACTCTTCATCTGGTTCAGCAATCGAATCTTGTTCGTCCAGGTTTTCTTCAGAGGACGCAACATCCCTCTCACGAGTACGACGCCATTTAGTTGTCTTTGGTATTTTAGCGTTAAAACTTTCGTCTTCTGGGTTCAAATTGTATAATTTATACGGCCCTCTCTTTCTTGTAATACCTCTACTAGCGCAGTTAGATGATTGAAGATTCGTGCAGTTTTCAGAAGAATTCACGTTCGTTTCACCAAGACCAACATACTCAGAGGCAGCCATCTTCTTGAAATACAAAACTGCCGAGTGTTTCCACTTTCAATTTAATAGAATTCCGATTTTGGTCAAAAACTTTCTTTGACTATGAAATAAAACTTCTTATCAAAATTATTACTGTTACGGTACAATACATTCGTCCCAGGACGATAAGAAATATTAAAAAGTACAGCAGTGTTCAGCAGTGTATTTATTGAAAACTTTGAGTTTAGAATGCTGAGTATATGCGTTCTTGAGAATGCTGAGTCCAATCACCCACCGGAGAAATAGCCCTACGACTAAGGTGACGTCACATTACCCGAAAGAACCTGGGAACGAGGATGCGCATTCGTTTCAAAATTCAAATTTTTTACAAGTGTCAACAACATTTTTGGCGGTTCTTCGTGGAGATATTAAATTATATTTCATATTCTTTGTCGCTTAAATCAAAATGAAATACGTACTGGTGCATTGGGTTGAATCGAATGAGACAAGCATATTAGACGAAGAAAATGTTAAAGACAAAAGTATGCTGAAAGACCCCAAGAAGGAAGGCATGGTTATGTTCGGGAATCCAAAGATGAAAGCCCCGAAGACGGGTTGGAAATCGTATTTAGCAAAAGTTTTAGCATCAAGTGGTAAGCATCTCAATCAATCCTGAGAAAATTATAGCTCCTTTATATTATCGCTCGCTACTCTGGTTTTATAAATTAATAAAATGATTATTTAAGCGCGAGCCGCATCGCCATCGGAGTGATCGAACTGCAATCAGAAGATTGTAAGTTCAACTTTAGTGTTTATCAATCATCATCATCTTCGTAATACTTAAGGGGGAGGCTCATACACACTAGTGATAGCCGGAAAATTTCCTCAATAACGGTGTATAGGTTTTAACAAGGTAGAATATATTGACCTTATATGCGCTAGAAACAAATTGTTTATACAGTTTTTTCTACAACAACACGTACTCGTGACCTAGTTCCATTCAATCCATTGTGACGTTTCGACTGGAATGCTGTTAAACATATATCATATATTGTATTATTAAGCAAGTAATTTGTTTTCTTTCAGATAGCAAAAAAGAGTCGATGAAATTTGAGCTTGATTTTATTAATAAGGAGGAATTGGAGGATATAAACAGTGATGATAACAGCGATAATGATAATAAAGCGAAGAGGAGACGTTTAGATATGCCCAGTTGTGAAAATGACAAACCAAAGAAAAATATTAAGGTTTGAAGCATGTTATTATTTGGTTTATACCGAAATTACAGCTAGAATACCCATTTGGGCCTTGACCTGTACCATTGTTAAATATATGATAATCTCATGATTCTTAAACAGAAAGGGTATACTGTATACAGTATATAGCAGCATTTTGTTTTTTAAACCCCTAATTTAGAAAGAATCGATGAATTTTTACCCATGATATTTTATCCCTTTAACCCTGTGCTAAAAAAACATTTATGTGGTGTAATTAAAGAGCTTGTAAATTAACCATCAAAACTTGCTGGGCACTCTACACTGTAATCAGACGTCTCCAAGGCAATGACATGGTAGTGCTCTCACTGTTTGGCCCCACACCCCGCTTGGGCGAACAGTTCATTGAGTTATGCATGAACCAGTATATATTGATTTAACTGTATTTTTACATAGAAAAGTGCAAATGCTAAAAAGGCTGCAGAAAGAGAAGCATATGCAAAAGAGAGTGTGTATACAGAAGGATTGCTATTGACAGCTCTGAGTCTGAGGAAGATGTTGACAAGGATGAGAGTGACAATCTCCCAGATAAAATAACAAGTGTGCCAACTTGTTCAAGCAATTTAGAGGAGCAAGTCAGAAAGTTGCAAAGACAAGTTTTAATACTTAATAATAGTAAGTCAAGTTGAACATATTCTCTTAGCTATTATGTATTCCATAACTGCAATATGCTTACAATGAAGTTTCATATTTTTTAATTACATTATTGTCATGCTTGTGCCTTTAGGATTGCCTGAATTGGTTAAAGAGGCCGTTTTAGCAGCACTTACTGAAACCAAAAAAACACCACCAAAGTTAGCATCTTTTCCCAAAATTCAATCCCCATCATTGTCCCAACCACATCCCCAATCTGCACGACCTTGTTCCCCATTATCAACCACCAGCAGTTTCTCAGAATTGCCAAGTGTTGAGAAAGCTGAGCAATCAGATTCACCAAAGTTAACAGTATGTTGCAAATTGATTGTATTTGTGTTGATCTTATGCTCACTTTTAATGTTATATGTTTTCATTGCTTTGTAGAAAAGTAACTTTGACTTTAAATTATTTGTTTGCAATGAACTCCAATTGCTATGTAGCGATTTAATGTTATTCTTATGTTATATAACAAAACAGTTTATTTTAATGAACTACTTAATACCTAACTTGCCTTAAAAAGCTGTGTTCAACATAATTATTAAATTTCATATTTATTTTTCTATGCATTTAGGATTACATTGACTCAGTCCAAATTAATGAAGTTATGAGGTCGCCAAACTTCAAAAAAATGACGGTTAACCTGATGACAGCTTTATTTGAAAGGAAAATATTGGCAGAGTCATCTGTGACAGGGAAAAGCAAGGAAGGGCGTCCTGCGTTGGATCGGACTAAAGTGGAACTGATTATAGGTTAGTATTTGTATTTTGTTATGCCTACATAGGACAAACTTTTCATTTAAATTCAAGTTTAAATAACCTGACAGGTAGTAAAAATAGCATGTTTCAGTTCATACTATGTATATCTCTAACATGTCAAATAATATTTTTAGTCAGAAAAGGCCTGTTATACACACTTTTCTAGTAATATCAAGTACCCTTATGATAAAATCAGTAGTTTAAAAAATATTAACAATTCTATTTATATTTTTCCAGCTTTGGTCATCAAGAAATTTCCGCAAGCAAGTGACACGGTTATTAAGGCTGCCATGGCACAAAAGTGCAAAGACTTAAGGCTGTCCATGGAAATTCGAAGAAAAAAGCAAGAAAATTAAGGACTGCAGTAGGATGAATAAATGTAGTATTTGTATATAATTTTATTTCATATTCATAGGAGTATCTTAACATAGGGGGTGTTTTCCACTGTCGCGTTTGTTGCACCTATATACTGTTACGCACGTAAGTTTAAAATAATTTAAATGCTACTTATGAAATCAACAATTGAATAGATCTATAGGGTTGGATTCTGTTGACGATTTTGTGTTTTCTTGCATAAAAATAATCATGCAACAACTTAGAAGTTTTTAAGGTTTTACAAGCGTGTGTATGTACGTGCAAACAACGCCACAGTGGAAAGCAGCTAGCCCTTAGTCAAATGTTTCACGTAATTTTGTTATATGGGTATTATTAATATATCAGCATTAATTTGCTTAGCCTTGTGATCATACTGTGTACGAGTGATTTATTTTGAGCATTCTCAGTGCATGATCGAGGGAAACAGCAGTTTGTGTGGATCACATGTGATCCACAAGTGAACGTCGAAACAGGCTCACATGTAAACCACATGTGGTTGTTCCACATGTGACTCACATGTGAACCACATGTATTCAACCACATGTGACTCATATGTGAACCACATGTGGTCCACATGTGATACTACCACATGTGAACCACATGTGATTTAATGGTTCCAATTTCACATGTGAGTCACATGTGATTCCACATGTGGTTTTTGCATGTGTTTTTTTCGTAAGGGTCACGAAGTTCATAATGAAAAACGGTTATGGTAGGATTCGAAAAATCGATTTAACATTTGGGAGACCATCGTCTTCGCCACTAGACCGCAAGGTCTTGTGCTGGGTGACCTTGATTATTTATTTTTCTTTACCATTTTCACGAAGTTCATAATAAAAAATGGTTTTGGCAGGATTCGAAACATCGATTTAACACTTGGAAGAAAATTGTCTTAGCCACTAGCCCAAAAGTTTTTCGGGGGAATGGCTATATTCATTTGAACTACTTTATCGTTTTCACAAAGTTCATAAAGAAAAAAATTTATGGTAGGATTCGAACAATCGATTTAACACTTAGGAGACTTTCGTCGTCACCAGTAGAGCACAAGGTCTTGTGTTGGATGACCATGGTTATTTAGTTTACTTTATCCTTTCACGAGGTTCGTAATAAAAAATGGTTTTGACACGATTCGAAACATAGATTTAACACTTGTGTTAGCCACTAGACCACAAGTTCTTCGGGGAATGGCTACGTTTATTTGATCTACTTTATCGTTTTCACGAAGTTCATAATGAAAAACGGTTATGGTAGGAATCGAACCATCGATTTACTACTTGGGAGTCGATTGTCTTCGCCATAGACTGCATGATCTTGCACTGAACGGTTATGGTTATTTTAATTTATTTATCCTTTTCACAAAGTTCATAATGAAAGACGGTTATGGTAGGTTTCGAACCATCGATTTAACACTGGGGAGACCATCGTCTTCTCCACTAGACCGCAAGGTTTTGTGCTGCATGACCATGGTTATTTAGTTTACTTTATCCTTTCACGAAGTTCATAATAAAAAAAGTTTTAGCAAGATTCGAAACATCGATTTACCACTTAAGAGACAGTTGTCTTAGCCATTAGACTGCAAGGTCTTGCGCTGAGCGGCGATGGTTATTTAATTTACTTTATTATTTTCACCAAGTTCATAATAAAAAAGGTCATAGCAGGATTCGAACCTTCGATTTACTACTTGAGAGACGATTGTTTTCGCCACTAGACTGCAAGATCTTGCGTTAAACGGTTATGGCTATTTAATTTACTTATCCTTTTCACGAAGTTCATAATGAAAACGGTTACGGTAGGATTCGAACAATCGATTTAACACTTGGGAGACCATCGTCTTCGCCACTAGACCGCAATGTCTTTTGCTGGATGTCCATGGTTATTTAGTTTACTTTATCCTTTCACGAAGTTCATAAAGAAAAGGTCATAGCAGGATTCGAACAATCCATTTAAAACTTGGAAGACAATTGTCTTTGCCAATAGTCTGCAAGGGCTTGTGCT